CCAACCTTATTCTACATCAGAGAATCCACACAGGAGAGAAACCCTATCCATGCAGTAATTGTTCTAAAAGTTTTAGTCGTCGTTCAGACCTTGTTAAACATCAAAGAATCCACACTGGAGAGAAACCATATGCATGTAATCAGTGCAATAAAAGTTTTAGTCAAAGCTCGGACCTCACTAAACATCAGAGAGTGCACTCTGGGGAGAAGCCCTATCATTGCGACAGTTGTGAGAAAGCCTTCAGTCAGAGTTCTGACCTTATTCTTCATCAGAGAATTCACACTGGAGAAAAACCATACCCATGCACACAGTGCAGCAAAAGTTTCAGTCAGAACTCGGACCTTATCAAACACCAGAGAACCCACACCGGGGAGAAACCATACAAATGTAATGAGTGTGGGAAGGCCTTCAGTCAGTGCTCAGCTCTGAGCCTACATCAGAGGATCCACACTGGGGAGAAACCGTATTGGTGTGATCAGTGTGGCAAAAGCTTTAGTCGGCGCTCTGATCTCATTAACCATCAAAGAATCCACAATGGTGAAAAGCCATATAGATGTGATACATTTGGGAAAGCCTTTGGCACATGCACTGATGTTACTGAACAGAGAATCCACAGTGGGGAGGAACCCCACCCATGTATTCAGTGCAGCAGAAGTTTTACCCAAATCTCTGAACTTATTGATCATGAGAAAGTCCATTCTGGCCAAGACAATCTAATTGTGACAAATGTGAGAAAACCTTTAGTGTACACACCAACTTTATTCAGTACCAGAGACACTATACTGGAAAAAAGCTTATGAATGCTATTGATGATTATGAAAAAGGTTTTAATGCTCAACTCTTGTACTACATTTAGAAGAAAAAAACCCACCCATAGTGGAGAGAAAAACATTGATTCAGTTGTTATAATGAAGGTTTAACTCAGAAATTCTGAGGAATCCTGTGTGTTGTGGGAAAATGTTCAATGTGAATAAAAATTATACCAAATGTCAGCAACAATGGAAATTTGTATCTGCTATAATGTGAGAAAATCTCTAGTCTTATCAAATACAACCCATGAGAGTTTTAAAAGTATTAAGAACCTTACCAGATATTGTAAAAATCAGTGTTGTGGGTGTGCAATCAGAACTTAGAAATATATTAGTATTATAACCTCAAATCTTTAGTGAGCCCAAATTACCTATCACATATCAGAGAAGTTATTTTAGATAATGTAGGGAAAACTTAAAATACCTTCCATATTTAATTGGCACTCACTCTGATATCACACCTATCTCCTGACATCTGGAGAGTTCTACCTTATGTTAATGCTAGTAATCATTAAATCCAGTGTATGAACATATGATGCTATTCTGATACTAAATTTATTAACTACACAACTCCAGTGGTCCATTTTCTACAAAAAAAAAAAAGTTTTGTGGCCTAGTTTTGGATTTCCTAGTGAGGAGTTTTTAAGTTCCTTTGATGTACATAGCAAATATGGATTTATTTTGCTTTCAGTAATGAAGCCTATAAGCTTTAGTGGTTTGAAATAATTTCTTCAATACTACCATTTAATCACAGCTTAAATATGTGAAATAAAAAAATATTTCATATGTCAAAGTATGATAATTTCTCTACTACATTATTTATCTTGTCATCAATAAATTGAACAAAAGTATAGCTAAAGTAATACCCCATGACTAATTTGTGTAGCATATTCTGTTTAAAAATAAAAATACCTACCCACTGATTTTTTAGGTGGCAACATTCATCAGACATTTGTTAATTTCTGACATGCCTATTAATAGGCTGCATATATGCAATGTTTTCTACTGAAAAATAAAGTTTTTTTTTAATTCTAATTGTCTTTCTGGTATTAACCATTTTTTAAAATTATGCTATCATATACTTTGAATATCCTCTATAATTATCTAATTAATATTTCAATCCAATAGGAATTGTCAAATTACTATGTGCAAGGCACTTGTTAAGGATTTATAGTCTACACAAAATTTGTATACAATGGTTTGTGTACTGTCCCAACAAAGCATGTATTATTTAAGGACTGATGTCTATACAGAAAACGTATAGCTCAATGTAATCATAAAGGTAAACAAGATATTTACTAGTAGCCCTAGCCGGTTTGGCTCAGCAGATGGAGCGTTGGCCTGCGGACCAAAGGGTCACGGGTTCAATTCTCGTCAAAGGCAGTTACCTTGGTTGCAGGCTCCTCCCCAGCCCAGGCCCTGGTTGGGGCTTGTGCAGGAGGCAACCAACTGATGTTTTTCTCTCATCGATGTTTCTGTCTTTCCCTCTCTCTTCCACCTTCCCTAAAAATCAATTGAAAAATATTCTCGGTTGATTAACAACAAAAAGATACTTGTGAGAGCTCTGAGGAGGTAGGGTTCAATTCTGATTGGAAAGCTTTGTGGAGTTCCTGAGACTTGAAGTTTAAAGGATGAGGTAGGGGCATAAAGGCAGGGAGAGACTAGTCAACAAAGGCACAGAAGCAAGGAAGTATAAGAAATGATGTGGAGTGTAGTGCTTAGTCATTAATTCACTCAAACATTCAGTGCCAGGCACTGTACTATAAAGTGCTGCCAAAGGAAAAAAATAAAAGGTTCCTGCCATCAAACTTACATGTTATGGAAATAATAACTGGGACATGTACTTAAAAGAAAAAGAATAAAATGGAATTAAAAATGAAGTAAAAGAAAAGACAGTTGAGGAGTGTGATAGTAAACAGGCACTTAAACTTCCCAGGGTTTAGTGTCATCTGAAAAGTATTAGGTGGTGGGAGTAGATACATTTCTGCATTTTGCTCTCAAGACAATGGAAAGCCATTAGGATCTTTGAACCAGAGAATGGCACGCTCACTTCTCTGTTTTATTAAGTCTAAGATTAAAAGGAGGCCGAGGCCGGTTTGGCTCAGTGGATAGGGCGTCGGCCTGCGGACTGAAGGGTCCCAGGTTCGATTCCGGTCGAGGGCATGTACCTGGGTTGCAGGCACATCCCCAGTGGGAGATGTGCAGGGGGCAGCTGATCGATGTTTCTCTCTCATCGATGTTTCTAACTCTCTCTCTCCCTTCCTCTCTGTGAAAAATCAATAAAAATATATTTTAAAAAAAAAATTTAAAAAAAAAAAGATTTAAAAGGAGGAAAGAGAGCAAAAAGGAAAACTACTTGAAAGTCTGGAAATAAAATCATGAGGCCCAGAAGTAGAGGAGCCTGAAGATACTGACATGATAAGTTGAGAAATGAGTAGGTATAAATCAATTATTGTCTGTTCTTTGGAGAATTTTTAAAAAGTGAAAAAGAAAAATAGGGTAATCAATTTTAAATTGAAGTTTAGCAATCTCTCTTGAGTGAAATGTTAAGAGCCAACTGTTTACTACACATTTCTCCTGTGTCCTACTGATAAACTTATGTTCATGAATTTAACATACATCCAATGTTTTCCTCCTCAATTCCCTATCCTGGTGAATTGCTCTACTAAACATTCTTGTTATCCAGATAAAATAACATAGCTATCCTACACTCCTCATCCTCCCCGTTTTCTAAATATAGTAGTCCAGAAAAATGAGTACATACCAACGTGGAGACTGAGAAGCATCCGTGAGGTAAAAAACCCCAAAGTGTTGTTCTTTAAGCTAAAGGAAATTGTCTATTATGCAAATATTGCTGATGGCTCAAGCAATGCCTAATAAATGAGTATTAGAATCAGGACAGAGATCAGCAAACTTGACTAGAACTTTTTTTTTTTTTTAAATATATTTTATTGATTTTTTACAGAGAGGAAGGGAGAGAGACAGAGAGTTAGAAACATCGATGAGCGAGAAACATCGATCAGCTGCCTCCTGCACATCTCCCACTGGGGATGTGCCCGCAACCCAGGCACATGTCCTTGACCGGAATCGAACCTGGGACCCTTCAGTCCGCAGGCCGAGGCTCTATCCACTGAGCCAAACCGGTTTCGGCTTGACTAGAACTTTTTACATAAATTTGTATGATGTAATGTCACACCTCTCATTCCTGATATTTTTTTTTCCCCTGATCAGTCTGGCTAGCTTATCAGTTAATATTTTTAAAAAACTAGCTTTATTTCTAAACCTTTTCTATTATTATATTACCTTCAAAAATGTGTAAAAAAATTTTTGAAACTTCAAAGAAACAAGACACTTTGTTCTCTTCTCAGCAACTAATCATGTCGCTTCTTTCCTCATTCAAAGTTCAATCATAGTCCCACCACTGGCTAGCCAGGTCTCCCATGATCTGGCCCTGCCCATAACCCTCACCCCACTTTTCTCTGGCCTCGTCCACTACTTCCCCCCAAGTTCATTCTGCTGGAGACACACTGGCCTCCTTGCTGTTTCTTGAACAAATGACGCACTGTTCCCACATCGAGTCCTTGGTACTGTGTCCACATGCCTGGAACATCTTTCCTCGGGTCCACTTGCTTTCTTATCCTCACTGGTCTTTCATCGGCTCACGCGTTCACAGTGAAAACTTCCCTGAACGACCTTCCTACATGGCAGTCCTTTCCTCCTGGATTTTCGTACCCCTCTTTCCAGATTTATTTTCTCCTTATTCACTGACATAAAATGTTTTTTAGTGTTTTTTCTTTCTACTGCCACATGTAGTCTCCACACACAGGGGCAACATATGTAAACCCCAGAAGTCTTGGGCTTGAGCAATTTCAAATCCACAGACCTGAGATTCAAATGAGGGCCCCAAAGAACCATGGGAGGGGGATGGAGGTCATGGGGAGGGCCTCCTAGGGTCACATACAGAAAACACTTGAGGGGAATGCCCCCAGAAGAATGGCTGCAGCAGAGACAGCAGTGTCATCCCTTCTCAGTCCTGGAATGAAGGATGGGAAGAGAGATTCCTGAAGACACGACCATGTGAAAAGCTTTTCATCCACAGACATTCCCAACATCAACGTTCAGTTATTACTGGTGCGGAAAGTATGTGTGTGTGGCGTGTGGTATCGAGAGTGCAGTAACAAATGGCAGAGGTTGACAGAGGCCAAATCATGGAAGGCCATGCTAATTTTATTCACCTATATAGTGCATAAAGTGTAAGTCTAGAATTTAAAATTACAGCGGTTTCTACAAATCAATAAGAAAATACAAATAACCTATATTAATCAGGACAGAAACCCAATTCAATTATCTTAAACAGGAAAGGGACTTTATTGGCTCACAAAACGTTAAAGTCCGGAGGTAGGGCAGGCTTTAGGCACAGCTGGATCGAGGGCCTCCAGAAAAATGACATCAGAACTCAGTTCTCTGTCCTTTCTGCTAGCCTCTGAGCTTCTCCTCGCTCTCCCCACATGGTACACACACAGTCCTTAGTTCCTGGGATCTCCGTGAGCCGTGTTGCCAATCGTTTCTGCAGTTTGCTGAGAGCTCTCTGTAGCCTGGCTTGAGTGACACGCCTATGCTTTCATCACTGTGGCTACGGTAAGGAGCTGCAGAACTCAGGGAGGCCAGACCTGGTCATGTGTTCAGCTAAGCCATAGGGAATGGGTTCCCCGCAATAAATAAGGGCTCTGTTACCAGAAGACGGAAAAGAGATGCTGTACGAACAAAGACAACATACACCCACACATAACCCAGCTGGAAAGCAGGTAGCAGATGTGAACAAACAATCCATGGCCAATAAACATCAAAATAACCTCAACCTTATCATTAATCAGGGAAATGTAATTAAGGATTTTTTGTTGTTGTTGTTCAGATAAAATAAGTGCAGGTAAGGCCATATGGGGAAATGAGCATTTTCCCTACAGTTGGTAAAATATAACGTTATGAAGGCCTTTAGGAAGGCTAAGGTGAGCCTATCGGGGAGTGCACCGCTGATGTAATAATCCACCTTAGACAACGCCATCCTAAAGGAATATTCACACACATGCACAAAGATATATGAGAAAACATTTACTTTGGCAATGTAAGAGCAGGAGAAAAAAATACCTTCAGTCATGGTATTTTCATAATATTGAATCCTATTAAAGAAATTTAAAGACCTCAGGAATAGGTTTTTTGAGACCAAAAAAAAGGCAAGCTATAGAACAGTACATATATGATCCTGTTTATGTAAAAATAGCTTTTATATGCTTATGTACATTCAAATGGAGATGTATGGAAAGGGGACTAGACAGATGTATACTAAACTCTGGGAAGTGGAATGTGATTGAAGTGCTGGAGAAAGTCTTTGTTCTTATACCTGTATCATTTATGCTTTATACATTGAGCTAGTAGTCATTTATACTTTTATAATTTTAAAAAAAAGAAACATGGGCAAACACAATTCATAACAGGAAATGCAAATGGCCAATAAACATAAGAAGAAATGTTCCTCATTAATTATCAAAGGAAGGAAATACATTTTGCCTATCAGATTGGTGTGGGTGCCCACAGGCACTCTTATCATTGAGGAGTTGTAAACTGCTGTAAATTGGTAATCTTTTGGGTGGCATCTCTTAAAATGCTGAATGTGCACATTCTCTGACCCAAAAAATCCACTTGTATTTATCCTACAGAAATACCCACACAAGCAGCAAAATATATGTACAAGGATCTTAACCACACCTTTATGTATAATAATTTAAAAAAAAACAACGAAATTATCCAGGGGTTGATTAAATAAATAACAGTATATTCATGCAATGGAACAGTATTTGTAGCCATGAAAAACAATGCCTATATCAAATTGGGAAGGAGGGGAGACAAATTTCAGAGCAGTACATGTAAAATGGAGATATGTACCTTCCTCATATGGTTGCTGTGAGGATTAAGAGTTAATCCATGGTAAAGCACTTCAAAACAGTGCCTTTATAGGAACCACAAGTGTCGGCTATTAACACATTTTTGCTTAAACTTGTATATGCCTAAGTCTGGAAGAATAACAGACCAAGTAATTATTACTTCTGAGTAAGACTATGAGAAAGAATGTTCTTTTTCACTTCATATTCTGTACTATAAAAAATCTTAATGAGTGAATTTAATAGTTTTCATATTTGTTAACTATAAAAGATAAAAACCTCTGAACCATAAAAGATAAAATCTAAAATCAAGGTTTAACAGCCACTGCTCATGGCATTGTGGAAAAATTGATGTCTGTGGAGTTCACAGAACTAGATTTGAGTGTTAGCTCTACTTGGCCACATGCGAGTCACGTGATCTCTGAATCCTGCTGTTTAATCTACAAATCTAAGTGCGACAAGGAGGGTCTAATCCGATGCCTGGCATGCAGATTATTTCAATACATATAATTCTCCCTTCAACCTACATTAATGCGGTAGACATACTGCTAAATGATCAAGTGCCAACTGGGTGTGAATGTAAGGAGCTTAACCTCCAAGAAACCCAGAATTTACCAGTAATGAGCAAATGCTCAGTGGCTATTAGGTAGGTATCCGCAGTCTGCATGCCATTAACACTGACTGCTTGTTTGCTAACCAAAAGTTGCCACTGCTTGACAACTGCCAGACCACCATTTCATCAGAGGCTGCGCAGCCCCCAGCATTGCTGATTATCTGTGTGGGTATAGATACATGTATAGATGAAATCATAAATCACTGAATAGTTATTTTAGGTCGATTTATCCACTGGGGATATAACCTAATCAGAAACAGCAAGTACACCAACCACTTTCTTTTCCTGTGGACCATCACCCAGTCTTTTTGGATCCAGCCATTTCCCCACTGAGCCCTGCCATAGCCTCAGAATGTTTTCTAAACAACCCATGGCTATGAGCTGGCAAGACAAACACTTCTTTGCCAACTCTAACACTACTCTGTCTAAGCTCTCACGTTATACCAAACATCTTTGGCCTTTAAGACAAATCTACCACACTGAAGCTTCTTGGTATACAGAAAAGATATAAAATCGAAAAAAGCATGAAATGTCAACCACTGAGAGCTTGACCCCTTCTTACCTACTCTGATATTAAGAATCCTGTCATCCTAGCAGAATTCCAAATATGCCACCTCAAAGCCTACTTAGAAAGAAACCAGTTATCAATCAATCAATCAATCAACTCAAGATCATTGCATCTTAGAGCAGAGGAGTCTATACCTTTATTGGACATTGACATGTTTCCTCTCAGCTACAGAAAAAAAGACCCAAACAAAAGTCCCTACATTTTCATGTATAATTTAAAATACATTATATCATTACTACATATTTATAGTTCAATAAACCTTAATCTATAAAGCACATTTCTTATTAATTATCAGAAAACCCATAAACAAGCCCCATTCTGCCTCGCTTCTCCACCAGCTGGCCTTGCGTGTATTACTATGCTTTTTAATAGGCTCATGCAAACTTCACCTTCCATTTTTAAAATTTAATCCAAGCACCAGCTGTAACCAAAATCTCTGGAACTATGAAATATTTATTCAAATGGGTCATTTTCCACACAATGATGCCCACTATAAGAAAGCCTTTTCTCATTTTCTGTATTTTAACTTCCAGAGTTTTCCACTGAACAGAACCACAGTACTTCAGATTCTCAGCCAAGGAGTATATAACCTTACTACTGCAATGCATTACTTTCATACATTTATAAAAATGTGTTAAGACTTAAAATTGTTAAAAAATAGTTCAATCAATTCTGATAGTTAATAAACTAGTTGTTAATAACCTAGTCGTTTACTTTTTAAATAGAACAATCCATTCAACTTAACATGTAAGTACAACCTCAATGCTAATAGAGATTGATTAGTTTTATAAAACCTCCAAACTGTGATAGAATTTTAAACTCACCTCTGAGGAATGCTGGAGAGACGGTTAGGATTAGCAGTTTGAGCTGTCTTCCTTTCCCCCAAATACAGCACCCTGGTAAGAGAACTATGGCTCCCCCAGGACTGCTCAGAAGGGGGCCAGAGGATAACTCACAAGAAACCGCTTTGTACCAGTTCCCCGATAATATACAGTGGAAGAATCACCTACCTACTGATGGTAGGGCTACAGTACCCAGCACAGTGCCTTGTCGGTAGAAAATGCTGAATGAATGAATGCGTGGCTGCTTTGTTAGCCTGGTGTTCAACCCTTTTTTACCAAAGAACTAAAATAAAATAACAAACCTGATACTTGTTACCCACCTGGTCAGGGATTTTTTCTATCCTTAACAAAAACGAAGGCAAAATAATAAAGAATTGGATCTTCTCAAAGCCAAGATGGACTATTACCTTCACATTTGCCCTTCAACACTGTCATTGACTGCAAATTCTCTAGTGTTTTTTCTACTTTCATAGTTTATGATTCTTGTTTAGACTGTTCACTTTCTAATGATACAGAGAACATTATTTTCACTAGTGGGATGCCTCCAAGTTACAGACAGGATGCAGCATTTTTATTTTCCTACAGGCAGATAATTATATCTAGATAAATTTTTGATACACTTCAATTCTTGGGATCCAAACATTTTTACATCTTTCCCAATCTAGGCGTCCCATTCACTTTTTGATGTTTTATCACCATCACTTCTAATTTTACTTTGAAGCTTTAGTCATCTTTTATCTTCTATTTTCTGAAATGCATATCCAAATTGGGTTAAAAAAAAAACCCAAAAAACAGAAGAGTAAATTTTGAAAAGATGGTTTCGGTTTTCAGACTTCATAATCCCTATGTTGCCCTTTAATGTAGAAGGGAAGGGAATGTATCCTTGCAAAGAAGATTCCATGATCAACACAAACCTAATGTGTCTGTCTACAAAAGAAAATTCTAAGAGACAAAGAATCAAGTAGATCATTATTTGGAAAAAAATAGTAAGAATATAAACATCACATGAAAGATTTAGGCATTCACATGTAAATTAAGTTTAAAATTTCAGTTTCTAGGCAGGTAAGACACCATTTCTTTCAAAACAAACTGATAATGTTGAGTGACAATGTTCTACATTTCCCAGTGGATTTTCTAACATTCTTATAGGGAGACCAAACTGTATCATTATGTATCATTCCATGTTTTTGTCTTCATTTCTGAAGAAATAGACCTGAGTGCTGACTTTTATTTTTAATTTCTTAAACTTTCACAACATTCAGCAGTTTTTCTGCATTGTGTCTTCGCTGATGCCTGAAAAGATTTGAGCTTTGACTATAGGATTTCCCACACTGAACACATTCGTAAGGTTTCTCCCCAGTATGGATTCTCTGATGATTAATAAGCCCAGAATTCTGGCTAAAGGCTTTTCCGCATTCAAGACATTTGTAAGGTTTTTCCCCAGTGTGGACTCTCTGGTGTTGCACAAGGATGGAACTTCTGCTGAATGCCTTCCCACATTCAACACATCCATAGGGTTTCTCTCCACTGTGGATCCTTTGATGAAGAATAAGCGCTGAGCCCTGACTGAAGTGTTTTCCACACTCATCACATATATGTTGTTTCTTTCTCGAAGGATTTCTCTTTCTTTCAAACCTGCCCTTAGGGAAACAGGCTTCTCCGTATTTAAAAATCTGAGGAACCCCCACACTGAGCGTGCCAGGAACTTCATGAGATTCCACTGCTGAAGGAATCTCGTGCTTTGGAGCTAACGCTCCATTTTCAGTCCTAGCATCATCATCTGAAACAAACAGAAAATGTAAATATCATTCATTTCCTATTCTGGGAGAAAGAAACCCAAAGGAAAAAAAAATAATGAATTTAAAGTAAATAAATAGCTTCCATTCATCTATAAACAATATTGTGAAAGCTGATGCTAAGGTTGCCACTCTCAAAAGAGAAAAATATGAAATGACTGATTGTGAGGCTAATGAGGTAAATAACATAATGAGGGATTAAACAGTTAAATCTGAACAGAAGTAGGAACAGGCTAGTGAAGGGTGGGCAAACTTTTTGACTCAAGGGCCACAATGGGTTCTTAAACTGGACCGGAGGGCCAGAACAAAAGCATGGATGGAGGGTTTGTGTGAACTAATATAAATTCAAAGTAAACATCACTACATAAAAGGGTACGGTCTTTTTTTTTTTTTTAGTTTTATTCATTTCAAACGGGCCGTAGTTTGCCCACGGCTGGGCTAGTGGGTTATAAATGGTAATGAGGGGGGGGAAAGAACAGAAAGACGGTAGATTTTAAGACATTCAGGAGAGAGTGACACAACTAGGTCTGGATGGAACTATGTAAGAATAAAAATAAAATAAGGCTGGCCATTAGAAAAGCATTATAATATTCTTTTTCTTTGAAAAAGGGAGAAATCACCTCAATACAATGGTATAAAAAACAAGCCATCAGTTAGAAAGTAGCTATTTCTGAAATGAGCTAGACAAGACAGGTCACAGCCAAGATTAGAACACAGGAGTCCTGACAGGGGCTGAAGATGAGCTGGGAGCATCCTGTGTTAGTTCAGGTTGACACTCACAGAGGCAATACGCCCTATAAACCCAAGTTTTCCTGTGAAGAACGCTGCCCTACTTGGTATTTCCCAGTATCTAGACGAGTCTTTCTTAGCCTCAGACAGATGTGCCTAGTGAAAGAACAGCCTGAATTATCAGCATGAGGTACCATCACATCTGCAGGCAGCTACACGAGCAAGTTTCATTTACAACTTTCCTGATACACACACCCCAATACACAAATGTTTTTAATTATTTAAAAATATATAAAATTTACAAGAAAAAAAAAGACTTTCCTGAAACTTGAAAAGTCAAGACGGTTACTACAGGGTGAGCAGCAGCACTCGGAAAGGTCCATAATGGATGACTGAGAAAGGGATAAAGTCAGGAGAAAAGGCTGACAAGGAGAGGCTGAGAGGGTCTCTTGGCGAGCAGAGGAGTGTACAGGTTACGTGGAGACAAATGGCACAGTAAGAAGAACGTTCTCAAGTGAGGTAGAGACTAGACTGCTGAAACGAGGAATTAAAGAGATGAAAAGTATCCTAAAACTCAGGCAGGGGAGAAGTTTTCTACCCAAGAAAATGCCACCTCCCAGCCAATGATAATGGTGTGCAAACTGTATTGCACAGAACAATGTCCAGATTCCCAGCATACTTCAGCCCCACACCCGAAGTTCTGAATCGGGAAAACACATCCAGTAGTTTGAGGTATAAACTGGGTGGTATCAAAGTATACAAACAAGAATGTGGCATTAATTATAAAAAATACTGGGAAGGACTAATTTAATTTTTCTGTATTTAAAAGCTCATTATAGCCCTAGCCAGTTTGGCTCAGTGGATAGAGCATCAGCCTGCGGACTGAAGGGTCCCAGGTTCCGATTCCGGTCAAGGGCACATGCCCCGGGTGCAGGCTCGATCCCCAGTTGGGGGCGTGCAGGAGGTAGCCGATCAATGATTCTCTTTCATCATTGATGTTTCAATCTTTCCCTCTCCCTTCCTCTCTGAAATCATTAAAAAAAAAAAAAAAAAAAAAAAAGCTTCTTATAGCTAGAAAGCCCATTTTTGCATGAATAGAGAAGATGAAGAGCTTTATCAAAATGTCTTTTTTACAAAAAAAAGAACCTTAGAAAAAAATGACTCTGGATAGGATGTTGAAAAAATAGGCGAAGATTTAGAAAGACCAGTAATAAACAACAAATAAAAGACTTGAGGAGGCCTCAGGTAAGTTTACTGTACCAGTGGGATGAGGCAGGAGACTGAACGGACACGGAGCAGACGACCAATATGCACTACTGCATGCACAAGGCACAGGGACCTGGGCTCTAGGCAGGCGCTGGCTCCGAGTGAGCAGACGCCAGCCAGCCTGAAACGGGCCGCCATCCAGGGGGAGGCGGAAGAGAAGAAAAGGCTGATGGTGTCTAGGAATAAAAGACCTGAGCTCAGCAAACTAACTGTTATGAGAAAAGAACCAAGCTCCTACAGGGCGTCCAGTCTAAGAACGAACACACACACGTAATAAGCAAAGGGTTCTAGACAGAAGCCCCCTACTGTCTCACCCTCCACCCCAGGGAAGCCTGGTCCTCACCGCAGTGCCTGAGGGAGTGGAGCTCCCAGGACGCCCACTTGAGCTGGTTTTCCACAGCATCGAGCTCCGAACTCGGTAAGCCCTGCGCTTCTTCTTGAGATGCAATCTCCTCTACCAGCACCTCCCGCTTCCGCCGGCAGAGAGAAACCTGCGAATAAGATTGGGGTCAGTTGATACGGAGTTTAATGCGAATCGGAACTCACGGGACCTGAGAGAGGCGAGGGACACAGGTACTGCATTGAGTGGGGGTAACTCAGCAGTTGTGCCTATGGGTGGGGCCAGGGCCTCGGACCCAGGAAAGCGGCACAGGCAGGCTCACCGACTGTCCGGGGTCATCCAGTTCACTCTCTAAATCCTCCAGCACCGCCACTGCCTCCTCTCCATTCTCGGGGTGATGCTCGCGAACCCACGTCTGCAGCTCCTTGGGGAGGATGGCCACAAACTGCTCCAGCACGACCAGCTCCAGGATTTGTTCCTTCGTGTGCGTCTCGGGCCTGAGCCACAGGCGGCAAAGTTCTCGAAGCTGGCTGACGGCCTCGCGGGGCCCTGGGGAGTCCTGGTACCCGAACTTCCGGAACCGCTGTCGGAAGACCTCGGGGTCGGGGAGACGGCTCCAGGGGATGCTCGATCCCTCTTCACCATCAGGACCCTCCTCCAACTTCACTCTCAGGATTTTTTCCTCCTCTTCTGGAGTCGGGATGATAAGTATGGAATCTTCTTCCCCTGACTGCGTAGACATCCTGATTTTAATGCTTCACCAAGAGACAATCGAGGCAGGCAGAATACAGGCCTGGGGAGATACCTCGGTTCTCCACAGGCAATCCTAAGACACAAAAAATTAACCACGTCAACGACCAACTATCCTAAGAATTGGGACACATGTTGATAAAGGAGGTAAAAAACATTTCTTTTTACTGAATTAAAAAATTCCAATCAATAAACTATACCAGAAGTTGGCAAACTGCAGCTCAGAGTCAAATCTGGCCTGCTGCCCATTTTTGTACACTTGTATTAAGAATAGTTTTCCCTGTTTTTTTTTTAATCCTCACCTGAGGATATTTCTTCCATTGATTTCTAGAGAGAGTGGAAGGGCAGGAGGAAGGGGAGAGAGAGAGAGAGAGAGAGAGAGGAAGGGGAGAGAGGGGGAGGGGGGGAGAGAGAGAGAGAAAAGGAGAGAAACACTGACATGGACGTAAGAGAGACACATTGATTGGTTGCCTTCTGCATGTGCCCCGACAGGGTCAAACCCTCCACCCTTGGGTTCGCAGGCCAATGCTCCAACCACTGAGCTAAGCCGGCCAGGGCAGTGTCACATGGTTGAAAAATCTCAAAAGAATACTTCATGACATGTGAAAACGATAGAAAATGAAACCATCTGTCCCTAAATAATTTTATTTGTTCACAGTTCACGCTACAATGGCAGAGACGCATTGTCGCCACAGAGACTAGATGGCCTGAAAAACCTAGCATTTACTACCTGGCCTTGTAGTGTTTCCTAAATGCACCTGATCCTGAGACACATTATTTGCAACTGAAGACTGGTATTCCCTCCCACACTTAGGGCAACTCAAAAGCAAGGATATGCTTAAGAAAAAAATATTTTAAGGCAGAATCTGTTACGTTAAAAAGTATTTTTAGAATGTTTAAGAACCCCCTACCCTTAAAATAAACTGAAGAATTAATTGTTCACTTGCTCAGGAATAGATAACGTAATGTTGGGCGGGGGGAGGGGAATTAACCTCCCGTGCCATTCGATGCAAGCATTACTCAGTCACCCACACACCGTGACTATCTAAATCTGCGACAGGCTTTAACCACAACGAACTCCATTCCGCACCGGTGACTGTGTTCCCCGCTTCTGCCTTCGGGGGGGCCCGGCCCGTTTCCGGCCATTCCCCGGGCACCTGCAGTCATGCCCACGCCGCTGGGGACCGCACGTCTTAGAAACGCATCTACTCGGGGCCGGGGCCTGAAAACCGGTCAGGTCGGAAACCGACCGGGGCCCCATCAAGATGAAGACCAGGAGCAGAAAAGCCCTCATCAGACACGTGACACACGGAGTGCCATTCGCTCCTCTGGAGTGTGGTCCTAGAAACAGGGTTTAGCCGCACGTCGTCCCTGCCTACTCCTGCCTTAGCAGCGGCGGCAGCCTCCCATCTACACGGGATTTCTTCTTCCTGAATTCTCACGGGAGGTGCGGGGAGGGCAGCCCGCGCGCGGTCCGGGGAACATTCGGGTTGGGGGGCCGATGATCGCCCTACCTGATCCCGCCGAGCGCCGCCGCGGGCCCCGCCCCGCCCTCCGCCGGCCCCTCCGCACCCGCGGCTGCGGATTTCTCACGACCCAAGGCCAGCCGGGCGCGTCCACGGCGGGGCACAGCACTTCCGCCCGCGGCCGGCGGAACTACAAGTCCCGGCAGCCTTCGCGCAAGGCCCGCCCCTCCCCACCCCCGCCCGAGCCGAGTCCCAGAACTCCCCGCGAGACGCTGAGCCTCGAAATAGAACAAAACCGGCGGGTGGGGGAGGGGAAAGGCCAGGGTCGCGGAGGACGCGGGGCAGGAGGGCCGGCGGAGGGTGCCGAGCCCCACCCGGCCTTGGGGCCACCCCCCGGGCCGCAGCTGCCGGGAGCGGAGACGGCGGCCTGCGCCCGCGGGACGCGGGGAAGGTCCCGCCGGGGCTCGTCGCTGGCTCCCCCGCGGCCCGCAGCCCCTCGCCCGGCGCCCCGCAGGCCCTCCCGCACTCCGGCGCAAACCTGGGGCTCGGGCACCGCAGCGGCTTCGCTGTCCGCGGCCGACGCAGAGACGCCGCTCTCAGCCGTTTCCCAGAAGCCCCCGGCGCGGACGGCTTCCTGTCTGCGGCCCGGGAGGCGGGAGCGCGAAGCCCCGCGTTGCCATGGGGACGCGCCCGGGGCGGGGGAGGGGCGCCCCGCGACAATGACCGCTTTGAGGCCGGGCTTGGCCGGGCGCCTCTCTCCGGGGGCAGCCCCCGGCCTGCGTCCCGCCTGCACGACAAGGGAGGGGAAGGGGATCCTGCCGCCGAGCGGGGCTCTGCGGGCTCTCACGCCGTGCACGGGCCCTGCCGCCTGCGCCGCGGGGACCTGGACAGGGTCCGAGCGGCCTGCCGGACACGGGCCGCCGTCCTTTTTCCCCGCAGCCCTGCGTCCCGGAGCTTCACCAGCCCCAGGTCTCAGCCGATCCTGCACAGGAACGAACCACCACCAGTGAGTGGGCGGCAGGGTTGGAAACCGAGGCAGGACCCCAACCTTCGGCTCCCACCGGCGATGCCACGGAGCTTTATTTTGACCAATTTACCTATTAGGGTAACAAGGCGAGAACGCGCAGAGCTGCCCTGGCCGGTTTGGCTCAGTGGATAGAGCGTCGGCCTGCGGACTGAAGGGTCCCAGGTTCAGTTCCGGTCAAGGGCATGTATGTACCTTGGTTGCGGGCACATCCCCCGTGGGGGGATGTGCAGGAGGCAGCTGATCGATGTTTCTCTCTCATCGATGTTTCTAACTCTCTATCCCTCTCACTTCCTCTCTGTAAAAAAATCAGTAAAATAAAAAAGAAAGCTCAGAGCTTTGGGAATGCTCTCACATTGAATTTGTGGTCATCTGCAGGCTGGCCATTTCATACCCCAAACAGCTGCTGAAGTGACATTTAATAACATAGATTATGCTCCTTTATTTCCTACTGAAGGCCTTCCCTGGGCCCCACTGAGTCTGACATAAAAGCCTTTTTACACTCAGGCCCTCTGTGTCTGTCCCCGCCTTCCCTGCCTGCCCTCCCCGTAAGCGCACCTTGGCCGAGGACCCAGGATCCTCGCCTCACCTTCCTGCCCTCCTGGCGCTGTTAGACGGGATCTCACTTACCCGTGGCCCTGCTTTTCGTTTGTTTTGTTGGTTTTTTTAAAACATTTTTATTGATTTCTGAGAGGAAGGGAGAGGGATAGAGAGATAGAAACATCAATGATGAGAGAGAATCATTGATCGGCCGCCTCTTGCTCGCCCCCTTCTGGGGATGGAGCTCACAACCCGGGCATGTGCCCTTGACTGGAATCGAACCCAGGACCCTTCAGCCCGCAGGCCAATGCTCTATCCGCTGAGCCAAACCAGCCAGGGCTGTTTCGTTTTGTCTGCCCGGGAAGGGCAGGGAACTGTCTTGCTCCCCACAGCATCCCCACCTCCCCACAGGAGGCTGCCTGCTGGGCTTACAGAGAACTCCAGACACACTGGTTGAGTAAATGAGCGAATTGTGCCGGCCACAGCGCCACCCTTGCTAGGTCACATGTCAGGCATCGGAAACTGCACCACAGAGCCCTGTTGTTTCAAGTCTGTGCGAGCCGCGCGTCCAGCCTTGGAGAGGCCTTGCAGGATCTGCCGGCTTCGGCTCTGGTGGCGGCCACCGGCTGTGCTCACTAGTGGCTGTGCACGTCCTCCTTCAGGCAAGTGCCCTCTGCCACGCGCCCTCAGCCTGTGATGGGTTCGGGATGAGAGAGCGGGTTATGGAGCAACTGAGGGTAGAGCAGACCTCATCTCCCCAGCAGCCCCGCTCACTCCGAGGGTCCTCTTGCCTCCTCCCTTGCGAGGCTTCAGAAATCCAGCCTTTTCGGTCTCCTGCTTGGCTCCTGCCACCCATCTGCTTGGCTGCTCTTGCCACCTTTCCCTCTTCTGTGGCCCTAAAGGCTAGCCCCGGCATTTCTGTTTTATTTCACTGTAAGAGTTTTCGCATGTAATTCATGTTGGAAAACAAAGAAGGCCAGCCCCGTCGGCGTGGCTCAGTGGCTGAGCATCGACCTATGAACCAGAAAGTCACAGTTCATTTCCTGATCAGGGCGCACGCCTGGGCTTCGGACTCGATCCCCAGTGTGGGGCGTGCAGGAGGCAGCTGATCCAGGATTCTCTCTCATCATTGATGTTCTATCTCTCTCTCCCTCTCCCTTCCTCTCTGAAATCAATAAAAAGAACATCTATATTTTTTCTTCTTTTTTAGAAAAAGAAAACAGAAAATATCAAACAGAAATACTTAAGTTAAAAATGTTGCAAAATGTTACAAATCTCTGCTGGGACCTGTTCTATAATTCCTAATTCCAAGAGAGTAAGTGGGTGAGGTTTTCTTCTCTAATTTACTCTTTGGAGGGCAGGCAGGACACCTCTTTGAAACACCATCCTCTGAGCCCCACTGGGTGGGCTGTTTCCGGAACCGCGGTCCCTGTTGCTCTTAGAGAACAAGTCAGGACAGAGCAGCGTGTTCCTCTGAGCGGCCTGCGTGCAGGGAATAGCTTCGTGCCAGCGCTGGACCACCCGGGACTTACCTACCTGGCCCCACAGCAAGGCCTGAGCCGCAGCTGATCTGAGTCTTGGCAGGACACCCGTGAGCCTCCGGAACACGAGCGCATGAGGCTGCTGCCACTCCGTTCCCAGTCGCCCCGGGAGGTTGTCATGAGACCGTTTCTCATTATTTCCTGGATTGTGACTAAGGCTTTCTGCTCCCCTCCCCCCACCCCCTCTCAGGTCAGTTGCAGACCATATAAAAGCCAGTTTGCTCAGTGACTAGAGCATTGGCCCATGGACTGAAGGGTCTTAGGTTCGATTCCTAGTCAAGGTGTACCTTGTACCTCGGTTGCAGGTTCCAAGCCCCAGTGGGGGTGCAGGAGGAAGGCAACCTAGAGATGGGGGTCTCACATCTATGTTTCTCTCTATCTCCCCCACCCCGCCCCCTGTCCTTCCCTTCCATCTTCCTCCCTCCCTTCCTTCCACTCTCTCTAGGAATCAATGGAAAAAATATCTTGGGTGAGGCCTTGGCCCTCAGCCCCGAGGCGGTCCACGGCTCAGTGCAGCCATCTGGCTCCTTCTGTTTTGGTGTTGGCCTTTTGGTGTGTGTGTGTGTGTGTGACAAAAGCTCGCGAGGAGTTGGGACTTTGGGCCAATCTTGCTTTCACTGTCTGTTTAAATAATAATCTGTCTAAATCTAAAAAGCACTCGTTCCTTTACCAGCCACATTTTTCAACTTTGCCTTAAACTATCTCATTCATTCATTAATGGCAACAACAAAAAACCCACAACCAACCAAGTGAAAAGCAGATACTAATACCTTCCAGAGAACTGACGATGACGAAAATGAGGTCATGATTTCTTCTTAGCATTAGCCTCTCCTTAAGGACTTAGACAAGGAGACAAGCATTTACAAGGCAGCGGAGACTGCCACAGAGGAGCAGCGTAGAGCACCATCGGGGGGCCTAAAGGAGGCGCGCTGAGGGGCAGGGAGGCACCAGGAGATGGAGAAAGAGAAGTTTTCACTTGGGAAGAGAAGCACAGGCCTTCAGATCTGGTGTTATCAGATGTCGAGCCTTTTCCAGGCTTGTCTCTAACAATTGCTTTGGAGCCCTCATTCCCACTGCTCAGCTCAGAAGTTCCTCCCTGGGGGCCCTTTAAGTCCACTGGTTAAGATCCCCGTTAGCTGAGGAGTGCACTGCACCAGGAGTCCTCTGTTTGCCTAACTGTGGCAGGCATTGTTAGTGTCCTACATGAAGCACTCCCCTTACTTCTTTTTTAAAAAAATATATTTTATTGATTTTTTACAGAGAGGAAGGGAGTGGGATAGAGAGTTAGAAACATCCATGAGAGAGAAACATCAACCAGCTACCTCCTGCACACCTCCTACTGGGGATGGGCCCGCAACCAAGGTACATGCCCTTGACCAGAATCAAACCTGGGACCCTTCAGTCCGCAGGCCGATGCTCTATCCACCAAGCCAAACTGGTCAGGGCATCCCCTTACTTCTAATACAACTCTGATCTTTTGCATTTGGGAGTGGTGGGCAACACTGGGCTCAGCCATATGCAAGAAATTGTACTGGGGCCCTAGCTGGTTTGGCTCAATGGATAGTGTCAGCCTGCAGGCTGAGGGGTTCCAGGTTTGATTCTGGTCAAGGGCACATGCCCAGTTTGCGGGCTGGATCCCCAGTAGGGGGCGTGCAGGAGGCAGCCGATCAATGATTCTCTCTTATCATTGATGTTTCTATTTCTCTCTCCCGCTCCCTTCCCCTCTGAAATCAATAAAAAAAATTATAAAAGAAATAAAAAGAAATGGTATTGAGCTACACCATCCATGACCATTCTATTTCCCTTGGCCAGGTACTCACATTGCCTCCCTGGCAACTAGGAATGGCCATATTATTCAGTTCTGTTCACTGAGGTGTAAGGGGAAGTAGTCTGTCTTTCAAGATTTGTACCTAGCCCTGGCCGGTGTGGCTCAGTTGGTTGGAGTGTCATCATGTGCACAGGAAGTTCTCAGGTTCAGTTCCTGGTCAGGGCAATCACCTGGGTTGTGGGTTCCATGGTGGGGGGAAGTGGGATTTCTGGGTCATACAGTGTTATGAACTGTATGTTTGTGCTTGCCCCTGCCCCCAAAACTCACATATTGAAACCCTAACCCCCATGTAATGGTATTTGAAGATGACCACTTTGTAGTCGCCTCAGCCCAGCCTGCACCCTCTCACAATCCTGGACCACTGGCTCCTAATCGCTCACCTGCCTGCCTGCCTGCCTGGTCACCCCTAACTGCCCCCACCCCCCCGGTTGGCTTGATTGCTCCTCACTGCCTCTGCATGCTGGCCTGATCACCCCTAACTGCTGCCCCTGCTGGCCTGGTCGCTCCTAACTGCCCCCACCCTGGCCCCCCCCCCCCCCCACGCCAGCCTGGTCATAGGCAGCCATCTTGTGAGGGCATGAGGGTTAATTTGCATATTGCCTCTTTATTATATAGAATAAGATCAAGAGGGTGGGGCCCTTATGATGGGATTAGTGCCTTTATAAGAAAAGATACAGGAAGAATATGCTTGTTTTTCCCTCTCCTCACTACATGAGGACCCAATGAGAAGTCCTCACCTGGGAAATGAATCAGTGGATTTTGGCCTTCTCAGCCTCCAGAACCATAAAAAATAAATTCCTGTTATTTAAGCCATGTGGTACATGGCATGTTGCTATAGCAGCTGGAGCTGAGTAATTTCTGTGGTCAGGATGTGCTTATTTTTATGGGAACCTGCCACTTTTCAGAGTGGGTGTGCCCTTTTCCAACCCCATCAGCAGTGTCCGAGTGTCCCAGCTGCTCACCAGCACTTGCACTTGGCGCTAGCTTTTGAATTTTGTCCAGCGCTTTTATGCATCAGTTGATCAGAGCATGTGGTTTTTCCTCTGGAAACTACTAATCTGGTGGATGACTGTGCTCTGAGTCGTAGGTGGTGTAACCCCACTCGCTGCGGGGGGTTCATTCTGTTTATACCCGGCTGCATTCAATTGGATGACATTTTGTTGAGGGCGTTTGTGCCGATGCCCATTGAGAGTTTTTGGATTGTAGTTTTCTTGTACTGTCTGCTCTTTTATTTCAATATTCTCTGTGCTGTTTAAATATGATAATTTCTATTGATTACAGTTATTTGCCCTGCCACCTGGATCCTTCCATTGAGCTCATACAGTGAAGATTTTATTTTGGTTGTATTTCTCAGCTCTAAAATTTTCATTTGATTCTTATTTGTATTTTGTTTCTTTCCTGAGTTTTTCTATTTTTCCATTAATTCACTCTTACTTCCTAGGCATGGTTATTTATAATACCTTAGTCTTTTTCTGATAATTCCAATATCTTTATTATCTAGGTATTGGCATCATTTGATCTTTTCCTTGCAAATTGCGATTATTCCGGGTTCTTCCCAGGCCTAGTAATTCTGCACTCTATCCTGTACATTTTGAGTCATGGTATCTGGTTCTGGGTATCATCTAAACCAGTGGTTCTCAACCTTCTGGCCCTTTAAATACAGTTCCTCATGTTGTGACCCAACCATAAAATTATTTTCGTTGCTACTTCATAACTGTAATGTTGCCACTGTTATGAATCGTAATGTGAATATCTGATATGCAGGATGGTCTTAGGCATCCCCTGTGAAAGGGTTGTTCGACTGCCAAAGGGGTCGCGACCCACAGGTTGAGAACCGCTGATCTAAACCGTTAGGAGATTGATTGGTTTGGTTTAGCAGGCAGTAGCCCTGGCAAGGGTCAGGCCACAAGTTCTGATCTGCACTGTGTGTGCTGTGGCTCCAATGTCAGTTCCATTTTCAAACACTCGCAGTGCAACTGGGAGCTGCCCTTTGCGTATGCTGCCCAGCGGTCAGTCTGGATTCTGGGTGGCGGTCTACTCTGTGGCTCCCTTCTCAACGCCTGCTGTCTGCTCCATGCACGTGCAGTGTAGGGGTGAGCAGAGGAGTTCATACATTGCTTTTGGGGACCACACTTGGTCTCCCTCCTCTAGGCAATAAACCCATCACTTTCTGGCTCCCTGAAGCCTCCATTACCAGCCATTCAGCTAGAAAATTGGGGTTTCCATGTCCCTGCCCTGTCATTCACTCCTCTCAACTGCGTCTGCATCCTGGTCCAGGCAGAGGACACAGAATGAAGGCAGGGGGACTGGCACCTGCTCCTGGGACCAACGCTCCTAGTCAGAGCAAAGGTGCCCTCCCCTGAGTAGAAGGAGCCTTCCCCGGGACCCCTGCCACTGATGGGCGGCTGCCACATACTGCCCGGAGCCTGGGCCAGAGAGGAGAGAGCCCGCTTTCCTCCTGAGAGGAGGGAGAAGAAATGAGTGAGGTAGATAAGTTGGCAAACTTGGTGGTAAGAGGCTCTAAGAGCTGTGATCTTTTCTTTCTGTAACATCAGAGGCACAGTCATAGTCACCTGCCCACGATGAGGAAGGTGGCGAGGAGGAGGAAGGCAAACACTGTTGATTGAGCCATGTGGTCCCCAATCCCGTTACCAGACATGCAACCAGGAAGCATCAGCAGCCTTTGCAGGGGTTTCTTGGAAAGCCTTCGCTTTTCCTAGTAAAGGAGACAGCCATGTCCGTGCCTCTTTCCCATTTCCTTCCTGTCATGATCCTGGACGTCGTTCCTGGAGCTGGGACCGCTTCCTCACGTTCTGGAAGTAAGCGTGAGGGGAAGCCAACAGAAGGGCATATTCCCCAGCGAGACCGGCACTGTCCAGCTGCTGATGGAGAGAGAGCCAGCAGGAACCCGTCCTCCAGACTGCTGGTTGCAAAAAACAAACATTCCCAACAGCAGGAAGCCTTCAGGAGTGATGGACATGCTTTCAGAAAGAAGGGGAGTGAGGTAAAGAAGGAACATTGGGTTATAGATATAACACTGAAGGCCCAGATAAGGTGAAATCCATCTAAAAAATGTTCCCTTCGGAGTATTTACTGTCTGTGAGAGTGAGTCGATCCAATGGGGTACTATTAGCATGCCAATTCTTTTTTTTTTTTTTAATATATTTTTTATTGATTAAGATATTACATATGTGTCCTTGTCCCCACGTTACCCTCTACCCCCCACCCCCCCACCCCCGCTCATGCCCTCACCCCCCCGTTGTCCATGTCCATTGGTTAGGCCTATATGCTTGCATATAAGTCCTTTGGTTGATCTTTCCCCCTTACCCCCACCCTCCCCTACCTTCCCTCCAAGTCCCGACAGTCCAATCAATGCCTCTCCGTCTCTGGATCAGTCCTTGTTCATCAGCTTATGTTGTTCATTATATTCCACAAATGAGTGAGATCCTGTGGTATTTATCCGCTCTCAAGTTCCATCCATGCTGTGGCAAATGGTAAGAGTTCCTTTTTCTTCTTCCTCTTCTTAAAGAATACCTTTCAGCATTTCATATAATGCTGGTTTGGTGGTGATGAACTCCTTTAGCTTCTTCTTATCCGTGAAGCTCTTTATCTGACCTTCTATTCTGAATGATAGCTTTGCTGGATAAAGTAATCTTGGTTGCAGGTTCTTGCTATTCATCACTTTGAATATTTCTTGCCAGTCTCTTCTGGCCTGCATGGTTTCTGTTGAGAAATCAGCTGACAGTCGTATGGGTACTCCCTTGTAGGTAACTGACTGTCTTTCTCTTGCTGCTTTTAAGATTCTCTCTTTATCTTTTGCTCTTGGCATTTTAATTATGATGTGTCTTGGTGTGGTCCTCCTTGGATTCCTTTTGTTTGGGGTTCTCTGCGCTTCCTGGACTTGTAAGTCCATTTCTTTCACCAGGTAGGGGAAGTTTTCTGTCATTATTTCTTCAAAAAGGTTTTCAATATCTTGCCCTCTCTCTCCTTCTGGTACCCCTATAATTCTGATGTTGGTACGCTTGAAGTTGTCCCAGAGGTTCCTTACACTATCTTCATATTTTTGGAATCTCTTTTCTTTTTTCTTTTTCGGTTGGGTATTTTTTGTTTCTTTGTATTTCAAATCTTTGACTTGATTCTTGGGATCCTCTTTTCTGCTGCTGGATCTCTGTAAATTATTCTTTATTTCAGTCAGTGTATGCTTAATTTCTAGTTGGTCCTTTTTCATGTCCTCCATGGTCTCCCTATACTTATTGAGGGATTCATTAAATTTATCGGCGGTTTCCATAAAATTCTTGAAAAACCTTATAACCGTGGCCTTAAACTCTATATCCAATCGTTTGCTTTCCTCCATTTCTGCCATTTGTGACCTGTTTCTTTGTCTCCGCATTTTGGCAGCTTCCCTGTGTTGATAGAGTGGCCCTATGCGCCAGGTGTCCTGTAGGGCCCAGTAGCTCAGCCTCCCCAGTTACCTGGGGTGGACACTCTTGGTGCACTCTTTGTGCCTTGGTTGTTGTAGAATCACTGGGAGGAATTGACCTCCAGGCCAATTGGCTGTGAGAATCAGCTGTGTCTAAAGTGGGAGAACTTCTGTGCTGAAGACACCCTTCTGGGGCAAGACTTGCTTCAGTGGGGCTTTGGTGCTCACTGAGTCTGCTCCCTGAGCGCGTCCCTTATGGATCTGAGGAGTTGCAGTCTGGATGGACCCCCTCTGACCACTGGGTACAGTGGCTCCTGGATCTAAGGAGGTGCTAATTCAGCCTCTGCCTGAGGCCACACAGCAGGAGCCACGAAGAGGCTCAGCTGTGAAGCAATGCAAGCCGCTGCGGGGCCTTGGGCCTTCTCTTGGAAGTTCCAGGTCTGCCTGGTTCGGCTGCAGTTAGGTACATTCACATGCAAAAGCCTCTGCGGCAGCCTGGGTGGGGCGGGGTCTCAGGGAGTCAGAGGGCGGAGAAAGCGGCCATGGCCGATTCTCCACCCGGAGTCGCGCGTCTCAGTGTTCCGGTAACGGCTGCAAGCACCTCTGAGGGAAAGCCGCCCTCAAGTTCGCTCGCTGCCGGACAGACCAGCTTCTCCCCGTGTGAGACCTGGGTCCCCAGAGACTTCCCGGAACCGGAGTTCAGAGCCGTCGGGAGTTTGTGATTCAAAAAGACAGCCGCGTCCTCAGGCGCCACCCCCTTTCCTCGTGCGCGCGCGCCGCCGTACCTCTGCACTTCACCTCCGCAGCGCCTCTGGCTCTCAGCGTGCTTTTCTTTCCTTCTAGTTGTGGAATTTACACTCAGCCAGCCTTCCTGTTGTTCTGGATGATGTTTTCTCAGTCCTTTGGGGTAATTTTCAATTGTTGTGTGAGGCAATAATTTCCCGGTGTTTACCTATGCCGCCATCTTAGTTGCTCTCAGCATGCCAATTCTTACCAACGTTAGCCCCAGTCACAGTAATTCTCCACTGAGATAAGCCAGCATCTCCTCATTACGAGATCTCTGTGCGTGCAAAATAACTCCCAGGACTCAGCAACGCCCTTTGGAGACCACCATGCACTTTGATAAGATGATCCGCATCACTTTCGGGTGAAGTGCAGGTCGACCACCATGAACAGATGCAACTCTGTCAGGTTTACGGCAGCGCCACGTGCAGACACGGCAGCGCCACGTGCAGACGCGTCCCCGGGATACGTGATGCAGACGGTCCCTTTATGCACAGGGCGCCCAGGAACTCTTCCCGTCACTAAGCAGTGGCTCGCAGGACACACCCTCGGAGGCATTTGCTGCTTTAATAGCTGGCTTATTCCTCTCTTAACTAGAGGCCGGCACCAAACCAAGAATCCCTACATTTTTAATAACGGAAAATATACAGAACTCAATATATAGCCATATGCCCCAGAACTAGAAAATATAATCGCCACCAGCAGATTCCGGAATTAAAGCTCACATTTACTTCTCCCCTACTAATCTTATGAATGGAGTAAGCGGAGCTCAGGGACCCCACCTCTGTGTCTGGGGTGATTCTAAGCACGGGACACAGCTGGACCTTCTGATGGCACGCTTCCGCTTCGTGAGGAGCCCCCCGCAGCAGAGTTCTCCATGTGGGGTCACTGTGACGCCAGGGAAACACAGCGATACATACATTCCCAGAACAGTCTTACCCAGACTCCCTGAGAAAGGGGAGGGCCTGTAGCATCCTGTCAGGATACGTTAATAACACACACATCGGCCATTTTACATTTGTACAGGGAATCTGACTGAAGTGGGTAAAACTTTGGCGGACTCTAAATTGACTTCCGTGGTTTCATTCGTACAAGAGCGTCAAAATCCGGGGTCCCATTTTGCACACGTTTGTCTGGAAGATCATCTTATTAAGAACGTAGAGGACCCTGACAAGGCTGCCTTGTGGTGCCTGAAACACGGTCACAGCTAAAGGGGGCCAGGAGGAAGCCAGAGGGGCAGGCATCAGCTGGCTCATCTGGAGTCTTTTCTTCATCTCCCTTTTCCTTCCCTTCCCATTAAGAGGGTCATCAACCTTACATAAGCATAGACAACCCACCTCATTACCAGAACAGTCCTCAGGCCGAAGCCACTCCCTGAAGACGTGTAGTCATCTTACTGTCTTCACTGAGTGATCTCCAAATTACATTGTAAAGGAGATTATTCTTTTTCCTACACAGGAAATTTCTTAGTCTCATCAGTAATGTATATGCTCTTGTGAGTTTTCGTAAGAGATTAAGTCCCTTTACTCACCAGCCTCCTGACAATGACCCTGGGCGTTTCAGCCTAGATCTTGAGGTACATATTCTCTTGGGCCTCCTCAATCCTATTCTCATATTTAAAATCTAGTAACAGAAAGCAAAATGAGAAATGTTTAAAAAGTGCTTTCATCTTTGGTCTGAGAACTCCCATACTTACGGTATGAAATGGAAAAGATTATCTGTTTTTATACGGAGTAACTCACATTCTTTCTCAACAGGGGACATGCATTTGTCTAAAAAGAAATACACAGTCGTCCCTCAGTATCTGCGGTGGACTGGTTCCAGGCTCACCTACCCACCCCCACCCCCACCCCCAGTAGATACCCAAATTGGCAGGTGCTCAATTCCCTTGTATGAAATGGCACAGAACAATGCACACAGTTGGCCCCTGCATCTGCAGACTCAATCTGTGGTTGGTTGAAGCCGAGGAATACAGAGGGCCAACTGGATACGTACGGAGAAAAATGTACATAAAGTACACTTGTGCTGTTCAAACCAGGGTTCGAGGGGCCACTGTACTATGTCATCGTTGGTGCAAAGAGCAGAAATAGAACGTGTCTGAGAATGTCTTTCAAGAGCTACTCTCCGGATGGAAATCAGAAGTTCAATTCAGCCTTGTCTGCTTTTCTGCTTATCAATACAGTAGCCAGAAAGCAAACAAGGCTGACATAAGATGGCCTGTATTCTCTCCTTTGTGACCTTTGAGAGGACCCTGCTCATTAAGACCAGTGATCGACACTATTGAGCTACTGGTGCCTTGTGTCTTCCTCTGTTGAGAAAGTTTTGAGTGGATGCTTTGACTCGCTCCCAGGACCAATGCACGTGTGGCTTTTCCTGTGCCTGAAGAGATTCGAGCTCTGACTGAAGGCTCTCCCACACTCGTGGCACTGGTAGGGCCTTTCCCCGGTGTGGATTCTCCGATGCTGAATGAGGACTGCGCTCCGGCTAAAAGCCTTTGCACACACGTCACACGCGAAAGGCTTCTCTCCGCTGTGGATCCTCTGGTGGAGCATGAGGGCTGAGCTCTGACTGAAGGTTTTGCCACACTCGTCACACTTGCGCTGCTTCTTCCGAGAAGGATTTCTGTATCTTCTATCCAACGTGCCATCTTGGCTGCCGGTTCCTCTGGATGTGGAACTCTGGGAAGCGTTCCTGTGAACGGTGTTAGGGACATCGCCATGCAGTTCTACGCCCGAAGAAGTCTTTTGCCTCGAAGCTGATTTCACATTTTGAGTTCTAGTGTCCTCATCTGAAATAATACACAGAAAAGCCAATGTCACCAGTTCCTCTGTTCGGAAAGAAAGGAAAAGAGAACGATCCAAATGAAATATACATGGCTTATGTATTAGCTAGCATGCTTTACAATAGCATCACAATGTGGAGGAAGGAGAGGGTAAAGCAGAAAACACTGAGATCATAAAGCAAAGGGGAAAAATGTATAGACCGAGGAGACAGTCAACTAGGAATACGAAAAGCTCTATGTACAAGGTAGAACGGTGAGTAGGGACAAGAAGGTATCTCAGAGACTGAAGGAAGTCTGGGCGAAAAGAGGAAGGGCCTCAGATCCATGTTTCTCTCTCTCCCCCCTTCTTCTCCTCTTTCTGAAATCCATTGAAAAGAGAGGGCTCAACTATGGTAGTAGGTCGTAATAAACAAGAGTGTCAATCAACAAAACAAAGCTTAATAATGACACTTGAATCAATAATTAAGGAAGGAGATGAAGAAATCCAAGGGGACACAAAGGAAGATGGAAAATAAAGTCAGAAAATACAAATTAGGCACACACACACACACACACACACACGCGCACACACACACAAGTGCGGTGGGAGAACACAGAGCTAGGATAACAGCACCTCGAGAGATCCAGGGTAGCACAGGGTACCCGTCTAGAAACACCGCCACTCTTCTGTCGTTTACAGTGCTACTTAAATGGCATCATTACTGGTTCAAATGGAAATCATCTTATTAGTAATGGCAAGGAGCTCAACTTTCAAAGCGACCGGAATGTCTAGTCACTACTATCGAAATCCCGGCAACAGTTAGCACCTGACAGCATGGAGGCCAAGATCATCCGCAGAAGCTCCGACGTGACAGGACTCTGTACCGAGGAAATCATGTAGCAGCCGTAAGACACGGTTCTGTTAGCCTGTCATGATTCCGGTTCTCTCTGCCTTGAAGTGAAAGATCCTGGGCCTTCTGCTTTTGGTTTAAAATTTCTATGCATTTAAAAAAGTATGTTTTCATTGATTTTTAGAGAGCAACAGAGGGAGAGGGAGAGAGAGAGAGAGAGAAACATTGATGTGAGAGAGAAACATTGATCGGTTGCCTCCTGCACACACTCCTACCAGGGACTGAGCCTGCAACCTCTATGCATCTTTAAAAAATGTAGGAGAGGCCTCTGTGAGGACTGTCACAGCTGGAACACGGTTCTTGCCAACAACAGGAGCCCAGGACCTGGCTTCGCGGCTTCGTTAGTTATCAGCACATCAAGCCGCGGAGGCTGGGATGGTTTCCTGCTCCATCCCCGTGTCCTGTGAACACTTCCCCTTCTCCTCGGTAAGCCCAGCGATCGCTACACTGCAGAGGCCAAGTGCGCAGTAGGCAGTTTGAGAAGTTTCTACTTCCAAGCCTCTTGGAAGTAGGATGTTGTCAAACAAGAGTGAGGAATCTTTTCTAAGTGTCCCTCTAAATTTTTATATATTGTTTTTTCTATAGTTTCTAATCAAAATTCCCTGGGGGAAAAACCTAACCTTCCTTAGCTGACCAGCCACTCCTAAAATTTAAAGAAGTGGGGGCGGGGGGAGGGAGGGAGAAGAAACTGGGGTTCCCTCCCCATAGCACTTATTTTTTAGTATCCGCAATGGAAGAGCAGACTGCCGAGCCGGCCATTCCGAAGCATTTCCATAAAAAGCGACGCGAAGGCCAGTTTAGAAGGAGAAGGAGAAAACCAACCACCAACAAAAAGAACGGGAAGGAGCAGAGACACATTCAAAGCCTGTGAGAGCAACATCACGGCCGCAGCGACATGGCGAGGTCCGTACGGGATCCTCTCAGTAACCCGGCAAGAGGTCGCACAGAGCAGGACACAGACCAAGGGCCCTTCTGACAGTAAAAGGGGTGGAACGAGGCCAGTGGGCGCCCTCCTGGGCCGAGACTGCTTGCTCCCGCTTCGGTCAGAGCAGCTGTGCTTTCATCTGTTTTAAATATTGGAACTCCGCGTAAAAGTTCATTTGAAAAAACGATCATGCCGCTTGAAAAAGGTTTGACAATCTTGATGGAGATGATGCCAAGAATTTTTAAAATCTGCAGATTTAAATCTATGAGAAAGAACAAGCTAGGAGAATGTCCATCAGCACGACACATAGAGGTCGAAAGCAGAGGGAGAAATTCCCACAGTGGGGGTGCAGGGGGGCGGGAGAGGGGGAGGCTGGAGACCTCCGTGCGTGCTCGGGGACTGGGCCGCCTGTGCCCGCACCGGGAGCTGGGCCCGCCCTCAGCGTGGCTGGGCCGCCTGTGCCCGCGCCGGGAGCTGGGCCCGCCCTCAGTGTGGCTGGGCCCCCTGTGCCCGCACCGGGAGCTGGGCCCGCCCTCAGCGTGGCTGGGCCGCCTGTGCCCGCGCCGGGAGCTGGGCCCGCCCTCAGCGTGGCTGGGCCCCCTGTGCCCGCACCGGGAGCTGGGCCCGCCCTCAGTGTGGCTGGGCCCCCTGTGCCCGCGCCGGGAGCTGGGCCCGCCCTCAGCGTGGCTGGGCCCCCTGTGCCCGCGCCGGGAGCTGGGCCCGCCCTCAGCGTGGCTGGGCCGCCTGTGCCCGCGCCGGGAGCTGGGCCCGCCCTCAGCGTGGCTGGGCCGCCTGTGCCCGCACCGGGAGATGGGCCCGCCCTCACCGCGTGGCCTGGAGGAGTGGCGCTCCCGCGATGGGCACGTCAGCTGGGGCATCGCAGGCTGGGGCATCGCAGGCTGGGGCATCGCAGGCTGGGGTGGGCCACTTGGCGACTCCCGAGTGATTTCCTGAGCTGCCACGTCCTCTGCATTTTGTCCCCAAACCTGGAAACAGATTATCTGAGGCTGAGACAGGACCTTGGGATAAAGTGAGAGAGACCCGGGGCCACAGGGAAAGGGAGGGGAACAGCAGAGCTACGCCCTGTTTCCTGGCACAGCTGGGGGTGCACTCACCCCGCTACACACCCGGCTGAATGGAGCCCCTGACCCAGCCGGGTCGCTCATCCCCGACCCCTTCTCACCTGCTCTGCGGGCCCATCGAGCCCCGCCGGCCGGTCGAGCTCCTCCTCCAGCTCCTCCAGCATCGTCACGGCCTCCTCCCCGCTCTCCGGCCGGTGCGCGCGCAGCCAGGCCTGCAGCTCCGCGGGCAGGACGGCCAGGAACTGCTCCAGCACCAGCAGCTCCAGGATCTGCCTCTTGGTGTGCACCTCGGGCCGCAGCCACCGCCAGCACAGCTCCCGCAGCCGGCCCAGGGCCTCCCGCGGCCCGGGGGCCTCCTGGTAGCCGAACTGCCGGAACCGCTGGCGGAAGGCCTCGGGGCTGGAGCGGCCCCTGCGGGGCAGGCCGGGTTCCGGGTCCCAGGCCTCCTCCTTCCCTGCCATCTTCACCACCTCGATGCAGTCGGGCGCCTCGGCAGCTGGTGGGAGGCGCGTTGGTGCCGACATTGGCGCGCAGGGCTCAGGACGGCCAGGCTTTACTTCTCCAGGAGGGGGAGCTCTCCTTAAACGAGACGAAAGAAACAAGTGGAACAAGACAAAGACTGTAAATGCTCCTGAGAACAAAACAATTAGGACTAGAAACAAGACTGGCCGTAAAGTACTGCTCTTCATCTTCACATACATCATGCTCTCAAAGAATACGCCCTTCTTTAAGAGAATCAAAGAGCTCAAGGATCAAGTGAACGCATCCATTCACAGGCATGAGTAACTCCCACTTTATCCTGAAAACCATGCCCACAGGCTGACTTCCTGTAAACAGCACATTGAGAGACCAGCCAGGATGGCATAGGAGCTCCGGGCACACAGGCACAGGGCAGCCTGGGGAAAGCTATGCCTCTGGGACAGGCTCAAAGGGCCGGTTAATTTTCTCCAGCCTGCTGCAAAGAGTTCTAAGAAATGGTCTCGAGATGGCACAGGAATTTTAGGGATAAAATGGGACAGGTTTAGGAAATTTTAGAAATTTTGGAAATGAAGGGGACCATGGAGGCACAGGGCTGCAGAGCAGCAGAAGGTATATTTCCATAGAATAGGGAAGCTGAAAAGCTGCAACAGGTACATTTCCATAGAATGGGGGAGCTGGGAACAGCAAAAGGTCTATATTTACAAAAAGAGAGAGAGAGAAGGAATCCCTTCGTCCAGAAGAAAGCCCAAAGGGAATAGGAAAATAAGGAAGTGGGAGGGGGGGAAGTACCTCTCATGTCCATTGTGAGGTTGGACCTTTGAGCCCAGGAGGAACTAGAGCAGTGGTTCTCAACCTTCCTAATGCCGAAACCCTTTAATACAGTTCCTCCTGTTGTGGTGACCCCCAACCATAAAATTATTTTCATTGCTATTTCATAACTGTAATGTTGCTAGTTATGAATCGTCATGTAAATATCTGATATGCAGGATGTATTTTCATTGGTACAAATTGAACATAATTAAAGCATAGTGATTAATCAAAAACTAAGGGAATGGTGACCAATCAGAGGGGATATCAAGGCACCAGGATCTGCAACCTTTATAAGCCATAAGGAAAAGGAACTCAGGGGGACCCTTTCCCCCTCCCTACGTGGAAGTCCATTCTGGGGGACCCTTTCCCTCTCCCCAGGTGGGAGTCTGTACTTGTTCTTCAATAAATCTCCACTTTTGCTATACCACTTTCTGTCTGTGGATTCATTCTTCAATTCCGGAGGACAAAGAATCCAGGTTCCAGTCCAAAAATCCCGTTTCAGAGAGCAAAGGGCTTTTGTGTGCATTTTTGTAATGTTTACTAATTTTTAAAAACAGTATTATTTTGACATTAAAGGTAATCACAAATCCCTCTACCTTAACGTATTCCCATTTCCCCCCATACTCACTTCTACTTCCCATCCCTAACACTTATATTATTTAGTTAACTGTATCTGTTGTACAGTCTTAGGTTGTTTTAATTGTTACTAGTATAAGTAACGCTGGGAGGCACATTTTCATGAATATGCCATCTTTCTTCTTTTTAAATTATTTTCTTCAAGTATGTCCCAAGGCTTGCCTTACTGAGGTCCACTGGGAGTGGCAAGTTCTGTCTTGCTATTGTTATGCCCAGAATTCAAGATCCCCAAGAAACCATGCCAGGAAGTCAGTCCGATGCAAAAGCAGAAGGTCCTTTATTGAGTTAGCTAACCCGACCCGGGCCTCCAGTCAACGCAGTGACCGGAAACCGAGTGCGACCCATGTGAAAATCCGGGCTTTCATAGTGAGGGGAGGGGAGCTGGCTGTGACCCTGCCGATTGGCCAGGCGCAAGTCTGAGCAAATGGCCTCTGCCCCATCATTCCCCCCTTGTCTTGGAACTTCCGGCTCAATCATGAGACGGACTGCACTTTTATTTCACCGTCGCTAGGGGCCCGTAGTGAGCACACAGAACTATCAACTGAGCTATTTTATACACTTAACAAATGGTCCGGTGGAAGGGAAAGAAACCATTTTAGCTTTAACAACTTCTATTGAAATAGGATTTTTCTTCTTAAAATTCCTCCATGGCTATTAAAAAGCCAAATAAAGATTATACTGTCCTGATGTTTGCATAAACACAACAAGAATGGTAACTGACTACCTTTGCTGGAATTTCATGGTTGAACCTTAATGTGCCCCGTAGGGCCAGGAAGCCAAGCCATCCAGCTGCCATCAGGCCTGCCTGCAGTATCTGCTGAGTTAGGTGAATCCCTCACCTGTAGCAACTCCACCTGAGCCCATGCTCCAGGCTTTAAGGCCCATCTCAGTAGCCCTCCTACTCGTTGCGGCCCAGAGTGTGTGGGGGTTCTGCAGGGATGCAGAGGCATCTTTACTGCTCCCCTTCTACTCTTACCAACTGCCAGTGATGGTAGGGCATGGGCCTGACGCTCCAGCGCCAGCCGTCTTCAGGGCTCCCAGGCAGGATACCAGGCTTTCTTCGTGGCATTCTTAGTGGCTTCAAGTCTTTAGAGCTCAGATAGGGCTCTTTAAAACATGATACTCCAGTCAAAGTTTTCCGTTAATAAAACCACTACTAGGCACCAGTCTTACTGAATCTATGCAAAGAAACGTACTTACTTAGCATTGCCAGATTTTGGAGGAATTACATAAGGAGAAAAACATACTGATTTACTCTAAGATTTTCTGACTTTCCTTGCTAATTTCTTTTCATGGATTTAAAACAAAACAGTAATTGTTGGTCCATGCCTCAGACTTTCTAATCTAAACAGGCTTTTTCCAGCTTTACTACCCCTGACATGGGCATGGTGACTCAGGCCTGCAAGACAGTATTACAGGCTGTCAACTGTTAGCTGTCTCTCAACAGAGACCAAAACCTGATGGGCACCCTTCCCTGCCCAGTTGGGCACTTGTCCTCTTGGCAGCTAGACACCCTTTACTTTTGGGGGTCACCCCACACAGCTCCCTTCCAGGACAGCCAACATACAGTCAAACCTGCAAAAGAATCAAAGGTCAATATAACATATCAATACAATAAAACATGATACTAGACATGTGATCCTATGAATTGTCCTTGTCATTTTGGAGCCGTGTCCATGAAGGCGCAGGCATTATCTAAATCTATTTAATGTTACCAGCATCATGCAGGTCGAGCACGCCGTAGCTTGAGCTTGAGCGGGTTGCGTGGATCTCGATCGACGCTCTATTTGGTGATGAAGTCTTTCCGGATGGACCCAGGTCGTGACGCCGTCTACCTTGAGAGCGGTGGGGGTCTTCAGCACCACACCCTTCCAACGTGGCTCTAGGGTCTCCCAGCAGTACCTTCTGATGTAGACCCAATCTCCTGGTCTGTGCTGATGAGGAGTTGGGGTTGGGCTGGTCCCATAGATGGCGCGGAGGCGCGACCAAATGTCCTCGTGCGCCCTCTGGAGCCCTCTCAAGGAAAGAGTCCTCCTCTCTTGGAGAACTTCAAAGTCCTGATGGAACCCTGTTTATCAGTTACAGGGCTCTGCTTTCTTGTCTTTCTACCAGTTCCCTTTTTGGCAGAGCAGCAACCAGGCCTCTTTCAAGGGAGTGTGCTAGAAGTGGGTATCAGCCCCTCCTTTGCTAGCAGCAACAGGTACCAAACTCTTTCAGTACATTTGACCAGCTTCATTCCCGCCCACCTTTACAGATTCTAAGGTCCATTGTTTTCCTTTAACCAGCAAGCTAAATGACACTGGCCTGTATTATTTAATTCAGCACAGGCAGGGGGAAGGGCCCATGGAATCTCTGCCCTGAGGAACTGTGAGCCCTACCCTTAAATGTCCCAATCAGACTAGAAAAGTCACAAATATCTTTTAAATCTACCCCAGAATTCCAAAATCCCAACCTAGCACAGAATATACTTCCACATTTATATGAACAAATAATTATACCCAAGTAGACATACAAACATCAAATAAACATTTACACCCTTTTAGTGAACAAGTACCTTTACAGTCTTGGGATCTTGAGCAGACAGGAACAGATGTGGAGGCCTCCCTTTCTCACATCCTAGGACAGGACTTTTGACCTATGTCTCATCCAGATAGAAACGGTCCACATTTATACCACAAAATACCAACAAATCAGTTTCAGTTGTGTAGCCAGTTCGAGTTTTGACTTCTCTCTGGAAGTCTCAGAGATGGTGAATGCCATCTAGAAGCCATTAATCCATTCACACAATCCCCCAAAAGTTAAAGAGGAAGGAAAGAATCATTCAATGTCATTCAAGATGATTTCGGCTAAACAACAAAATTGACAGATTAAACACATTGGAAAACCAAGGCCAGAAGTACCCTCTGACGTTTCAGGGGTACCAAGGAAAGAGAAGTTAGGCCACGTTCAGCCCTTCTCACAATTCACCATTAGTGACCAGTCCCAGCTCACTGGTATATTATTCACTTAACATTTCTTTTTTTCTCCTATCACACCAAGGCCATGCTTTCCAGGTAGCTAGAACTTTTAGCCTTAATTTTTAGGTGATTAGCACTAGTTAAACAATTTTAAACAACAAAGATACATATTTAAGTAAACACATTATCTAGAACCTAGTTAAACTTAGGCATATCCTGGGTCTCCCAAACACTGAGTTGGCAAGGTAACTGGAGCCCTTTAAGATCAGTATGAAACCACAGTTTCTACCTGAAATCCTTTTAAAGACTTTGACATAACCTTTAATTGTCCTTAGTTTAAGGGAAGCAGGGTTTTCTGGATTTCATTTCTCAATACTTAACCAACAGATTTAATTCTGTCTTCTAGATTTTTCATGAGGCAAATTACTTTTTACTTTCAAGCGGCTCTGGAGAACCACATTCGAGCCTTGCAAGACAGGTTTTTGGCCTCCCTGGTCTTTTCAGATGTAAATTGACGACATTCTTTAAGATTTTCCTGCAGGCAGGAGGCGACTATCTCCTCCCTCCATTAAGAAAAGCTTTCTTAATTAACAAAGGACCAGTTTTTGTGTTTTTTTTTTTTTTTTTCCCTCTTTGGAAAAACTGTTCTTTATTATGGGTTAGGCTTGGGATTTATCCTGCACATTTGAAAGGAGACGCTAGCCCAAAACCCTATCCAAAATCGGACGGTGCGCACATTAGTTTTAAGCCAGCTTTTCTCCTTACACGTGCATAGAAATCCCAGACGCATTTACTTGGGGAGGGGGTGACCTGTTTACACAGACCCTCACTCAGGCGGCCGCCCTACCGCCACACAAAGGAGGGGGGAGGGCAGTCCCCCTCCCTCCACACTCACACACTTTCACCAGACATTTATTCAGAGTTTAAACAATCCATTCAATTCCTAACAACTTCCCCATTCCTGAGGGAGCTCTAAAGCCTCCCCCAATCTCCTTGAAATTATTAATCCAGCAAGTCCACAAAATAAAACGGAAACACAAACAACTAAAGGGCCCAAAAAAGTACAGCCTTCCAACTCCATGGAAGCAAAAACCGAAAGCTAGACGATGGCTGCGCGCCAACCAGCAGGAGCGACCCGCCTTTTCTCAGATTGAGGGGTTCCTACAGACCTTCCGACTCCGCAGAAGCAAATTTTCCCCTCTTCAGATGGAGGATGGGGGG